ACAGACGAGTGATTCAATGGTTGAATCAAAATCAACAGATTCTCATTGACAAAATTGACTCTTATGGTTTGGCAATGGATAAACATGGATTTCTTTATGTTTGTAATCGTGAGTTCCATGAAGTAAGACGATGGAAAATGGGAGAATATAACAATGAAGGAATTGTAGTGGCAGGTGGAAATGGACAAGGAGATCAACTCAATCAACTTAAGAATCCTACTTTTATCTTTGTTGATGAAGATCAATCTGTTTATGTATCAGATCAAATCAATCGTCGTGTGATGAAATGGAGAAAAGATGCAAAAGAAGGAACAATTGTGGCTGAAGGAAATCGCCAAGGAGAAAATCTCAATCAATTGTCTGAATTTACCGGAGTAATTGTTGATGATTTGGGTCAAATTTACGTAGCAGATTTTGAGAATGATCGAATAATGCGTTTGTGTGAAGGAAAAGAAGAAGGTGAAATTGTTGCTGGTGGAAATAGAAGAGGTGATCGACCATTTGAATTGAATGGTCCTACGGATTTATCGTTCGATGATGAAGGAAATCTTTATGTTGTTGATTTTCGAAATCAACGAATTCAAAAATTTGAAACAACTTTGTGAATGAAATTTTAATTTTGCAAAAAAGAAACAAAACTATTTGTTCAATAAATAACTAAGAAATAAAAGAAAAAACAAAGTCTTATTATTGAAAATCAATAAAAGAAATTTATTAAAATTTGCAGAAAAAGACATAGTTTGACAAACAACGAAGAAAAATCTTTTTAGTTTTTTTTATCAACTCTGAATTGAATTGGTAACTTTCATTAGAAGAGTCAAACAAATAAAATATTTTGTAATTTGAGATGAATTCAAAGAAAAATTCTGTGAAAAGAAGTTTTTGTATTTCAGAAAATTCTATTTGCATATTTTTATTTGATAGAAATAATAAAATTATCTCAAATTTGAAGAGGAAAGAAATGTTTCAGAAAAATTTCATTGAAATGTATTTTATTGAATAAAACAGATGTTGAAAAGATTTTTGTTTAATAAATTAACAAAACTTATCATTTTCTAATTTTAGTGGCTCGATTTTAAAACATTTATTAATAAAAACTGAATTAAAAATATGTTTTGTCAAAATGAAATCAATGGAAGCAAATTTTATTGGAAATTTCAAAATAAATCAATGAATATTTCCATCTAGATGAAAAGAGAAAAAATGAATTACAGAAGAAAAATGAACAAGTAATTGGAATTAAATAAAACATTGATACTAAAAGTTATGAAATGATCTAAAATTTAAATTTGATTTTTGATATCAAAGAGATTTGTTTTCTTTTTCAAAGACAAATTGAATTCATTTCAATTTCAAATGAAAAAATTCAAGATTTTCTTTATTTTTGATTCTGAATAAAAAGTTTCTATGAAAAATGATTTAAATTCGATTTTCTTCTTTTTCATCAAATAAAACTCAAATTATTGATTCTTTTCAAATCAATGAAGTTTTTTTGTGACAAAATATTCGTTTTTTCATTGACATTTGATGAAATAAAATCAGTTTGTGGATGTGAGTATTCGTTTTATTACTCTTTGATCTATATTAACAATTCAACAGTAGAATTTCTCAAGAAAAATATCTCGCTAGAATAATTAAAGAAATGGTCGAATACATGATTTAAAATATTTTTATGAATAGTAAAAAAAAATATTTACTATCAAATTCTAGTTAGTCGAAGTTGATAAACATTTAACAAAAATGGTGAAACTAATTCCAAAATCTATTTTGAAATTATTTTGCTAAGAATACATTCAGCTATAAGAAAATGTCTCTTGTTCGAAAATATTATAATATATTCTTTAGATAAATTATTGTTAAAGTGGACTACTGCTATGAGAAAATTAAAATAATATTATTTTCTATTTTTATTAAAAAATGATATATTGATAGATGAATATTATTGTTTAAAAATAAAAAATTAATTAAAGAATTTTTATGTAGTAACAAAAATACTTTGTATAATATTCAAGATAAAAAATCTAAATAGTGTTTTATGAATCTTCTATTATATATATAAAGATGAATGTTTGTTTGTTTGTCTGTTCGCTATGCATTCGAAGACCGTACGAAAAAATGCAATGAAACTTTCCGGAAATGATGTCTGCACCCGGGGCAAGATCGACATCTACTTTATTCCGAAAACAAAATGAATCCTACGCTTGCTACAGGCAATCTATGAAACTGACTAATAGGATTGCAACATTTCAAAACGTTAAAAAGAAATTGGTAGTGAAGCCGGCCGAAGGCCGTCAGAGCGCACATATTCTGTTTGCTATGCATTCAATTCCTGTAATAACTATGATCACCAAATTGTCCACGACGCTTCCTTAGGTCCCAAGGAAGGTCGACGGGGATTGGCATGGTCATAGGGCGGTAGGGAGGCGGCGTGGGTGAAACTTCACCCAAGTGGTTCTGTGATAGCTAACGTCACTAAACTATCAATCACACTTCTTTATACACAGGGAAAAGTGAAGAGGGAGTCGGCTACGGAAAGTGCTTGAAATCTAAATATTTTGCAGCGGGGACCGTATGAGAGGCATTTTGCAGCGAGAATTGTGTAAGAGAGAATTTGCAGCGGATACCTCCGCTAGTTTATTTTAAGATTCTATTCATAGGTATCTCTTTGAATAGCTGCATTAATTATTAGAATATCAATTCTGTCAATATCAAATTATTTTCACTGAAATTCTCTAGACTATTTAAAAGAGTATAATAAATATCAATTGTAAGATATTGAAGTAATGCGATTTCTTGTGTATTAACTTTTATTTCTGGACACCCATATTCAATTACTCTGAAAAGATCATTACTACAAACCTGTTTTTACAGAATAATTTATTATTAAAAAAACTGACCTGGTGAGCAATGTAAGGTCTACATCATTGTTTAGAATCTATAGATGATGATAAAATGAAAAATTGTATTTTGAGACTTGATAAAATCATTAGGAAATCTTTTCAATTCTAATCTGATTCATGCTTTATAATTAACTCAGAATTTTTTCCGATGTCTCTTTCTCATAGACTCAACGATACATTCACCATTTACTTTTAAATCAATATTTCAAGTGATTGAAATTGTACTTCAGTTGAATTTAATCATATCATATAATATTATCTAGAATACTTTTATTTTCATATGAATACTAAAAAAAGTTTATTTAAATTATTGAATGATTGATAATGATTCAATAGTAGTTAACAACGGCAACTTATTTTTTATTATTTTCTTTCTTATTTCTAATTGAATTTCAAATACAAACATGTAACATATTGACTAATGGCACAATTCAATAAGAAGATTAAATATTTTCTAAACACATATCTGTCATTTACATCACTGTACGTCTGAAAACGTTCATTTATACATAAAGGGATACAATAGTTTGCAAGTGATCATGGTCAATATTAAATTAAATATTCATCGAAACTATTGTATTATTAACAATACGTTATTAAAGTTGTTTTATAGTTCGAATTGTTACTAGACTAAAAGTAATCATTAAAATTCGTACGGATATACCAAAAAAGATTGCATTATAGATATCAAAGAACTTCGTATAGTTATCAAATGCTATTATACATCTACCTAGAATAAAACAATCAGTACAATTCATGAGTGAATGGTTTTTTTTGAACTTGATCTGGATGATGTTAGTGCTACGAATTAAGAGCGTGTTGCGTGAATTTGTTTATACTCATGCAAAAATAGACGGATCTTAGAAGCTAATATCGATCAAAACTATAGAGTTTTCATCGCGAAGTTTCGAGCTCATTTTTTTGGACTAAGTTTTATCGACTTTCATAGAATCCCAGCAGCTTAGTACTTCTCGATTCATATTTTTACAACAAAATATGACAAAAGATTATGTTCTGTTGACAATTATCATCATGTAATTGTATGAATACTTAGATATCAAGAAACTCTGTGTTTTGGTTATCTCATCTATCTGTCTGTATCTGTAGTAGCATTCTTTTTGTAGATTGACACATATTTCAGTTGTGTTAAATAATTATTTCAAATAAAAATAGATTAAACTCTTATCAAATTGTAGAAAATCAGCTGAGATATAGTTAGATATTGTTCAGTATTCGTTGCTGTGAGTTCTTCATGCTAGCACATTAAACAGGACAAAATAAAATAGGAGCTGTTACTATCAGAAGCTTCAAGAATAATATGGGTTTGATGGGGTATATCCTTATCAAACTGAAATACTAGACTCTTTATCGAAAGTACTGAATGTTTATCTGATACAGAAAATACGTTGGCTTTATGCCGGTTAAGTCAAGAGTTAGAGCCATAGAGTGCCATCTGCCGACGTTAAGAGTAAGCAAATTCTTCTTCATTTACACCCATCCTCAAGACAGTCAAAGTATTTTGTCATTTTTTAAGTCATATATATAGTTCTGCACCAATGCCAGCATACTGATTAGATAAAGCAGAAATCAAAATGTCTATTGTTAGATCAGTTTGTCGTCGGCATAACTCGGACTGATCGATATCGTAATAATTTGACGATGACTGCCGCCACTAATCTACAAATGATTACTACACCACCATATAGAGAAATCATTTTTGTAATTCCTTCGAGAAGATCACTTTTTTTCGTATAAGAACGAACACATAATGAAGGTGCACACTGGTGAAAGTAATTTTCATAGGATACATTGTTCACAAGTTCTTCCATCATTAGTTCATTGAAAATGGATTGAAAAGTTGAATTATAAGAAAAACGACTTGGATTAGCAGAGCTATTCAATGGCAGAGAAATATTTGTTTCTTTCAAACATTTTCGATCATAGAAACAGTCGAGTGACAATTGCAACATAGCTTCGATTGGATAGCAACCTATCTTTAATCCAGAATGAAACCAGGTGCACGTCGAAGTAAATCCACA